TGTATAAATTTAAAGTCAATCCGATATTGAATTTAGCCTCTAGAGCGTGCACAAGATTTTTTGAAGTGGTCAAGGACCATAATTCTGACAGTAATTATCGGAAATCGCTGAAAATCAATAGGCTTCTTCGTCTCATGACCTTAAACACTCTGTATAAATTTAGTCGATTTCGGTTTTTGGTGTTGCGTTCATTTTAAAAAAAATGTCTTTTACGGATAATGTGTATAGTACTAATAGTAATCACATACGGAAGAGGCGATAAGATCCCTTTGCATTTGGAATTTCAAAATTAATTAAAACCAAATTTAAATTCCGAAAATCGGTTGTTTATTTTTTGCTGAAACTCCATTTTTTAATCTGATCAAAATGGGAGTAAGTCACAGAGTGGTAATGGGCGTATTGTGTCCAAATTTCATAGTTTTGGGACAATCGGTGCCGGTGTCGTGGCGAAATTCCACTCTTTTCGCCCTTACAGAAGCCGTAAATGGCGGGAAAAAACGAACGACAGGAACCGTGTCAAGAACAAACGACCTGAACGAATGCAGGTATCGCCTTGAAGTTTTCAGTGCACCTAGGTACCAACGTGAAAAGTTCCTCGCCGGAATTTGGTAGTCAACGTACTTTTGGTTCCAGCGTGGCGCATGCGCGAAGTAAAAAGAAATTACGGTCGATTTGACTCGGATTGATCTAACATGCCGATCATAACACATTATGATAATCACTTTGAAGAATGAGCAAATGTACCCCATTGCCTTCAAATTTGCACAGAATGTACCTTAGGATTCTAGCTATCACATATTAAAAATAGAAGAGTTTTGGATTCCGAGAACGTTCAAAATAAATTCAAAACCCATCCCCACCGATCAAAGGTTTTATCGAATTTTTATTGTTCTTGATAAATGAGGATTTTCTCAATTTAATATGTGATAAATATCATCGCGGCGCAGCCAACCGCTAGAAATTCCAGAGATTTGGACCACTGGAAGGATGCCTCAGCAGTCAAAAAAGGTCAAAATAGGCGATTTCGGTTTCTAGTGTCGATACATCGTTACGGTCATTTTAAAAAATTGTCTTTTAAGGATAATGTGTATAGTACCAATACCTATCACATAAGGAAGAGGCGATAAAATCTCTTTGCATTTGCAATTTCAAAATTAATTAAAACCAATATTAAATTCCGAAAATCGGTTTTTTGCTAAAACTCTTTTTTATTTAATCGGATCAAAATGGGAGTAAGGCACAGAGTCCGGGGTGGTAATGGGCGTATTCTTTCCAAATTTCATGGTTTTCGGACAATCGGCGCCGGTGTCGTGGCGAAATTCCTCTTTTTTCGCCCTTACTGAAGCCGTAAATCGCGGAAAAAGCCGAACGGCAGGAACCATGTGAAGAACAAACGACCTGAAAGAAATGCAGGTATCGCCTTGAATTTTTCAGGGCACCTAGGTACCAACGTGAAAAGTTCCTCGCCGGAATTTGGTAGTCATGGTACCTTTGGTTCCAGCGCGGCGCATGCGCGAAGTCAAAAGAAATTATGGTCGATTTTGGGATTTTGGGTATATTTCGGAGTGGTTTGGTAGGTGACGGTGTATCTAAGATGGCGGTTATAATAACTTTAAAGAATGAACAAATTTCCGCGACCGGGTTGATTTGCTCTGCCCAGGCAACGTTCCTGTGCTCCGATTGCCTTCAAATTTGCACAGAATGTACCTTGGGATTCTAGCTATCACATATTAAAAATAGAAGAGTGTTGGATTCCGAGAACGTTCAAAATAAATTCAAAACCCACCCCCAACAATCAAAGGTTTTTTGCTTAAAAAATTGCCGTATTTTATCGAATTTTTATTGTTCTTGATATCTGAGGATTTTCTCAATTTAATATGTGATAAATATCATCGCGGCGCAGCCAACCGCTAGAAATTCCAGAGATTTGGACCACCGGAAGGATGCCTCAGCAGTCAAAAAAGGTCAAAATAGGCGATTTCGGTTTCTAGTGTCGATACATCGTTATGGTCATTTTAAAAAATTGTCTTTTAAGGATAATGTGTATAGTACCAATACCTATCACATACGGAAGAGGCGATAAAATCTCTTTGCATTTGCAATTTCAAAATTAATTAAAACCAATATTAAATTCCGAAAATCGTTTTTTTGCTAAAACTCTTTTTTTTTAATCGGATCAAAATGGGAGTAAGGCACAGAGTCCGGGGTGGTAATGGGCGTATTGTGTCCAAATTTCATGGTTTTCGGACAATCGGTGCCGGTGTCACGGCGAAATTCCACTTTTTTCCCCTCATGGAAGCCGTAAATTGACTTGAAGCCAGGGTCCTTGAAGTTGTACAGCTGCACCCGGTGACCGATATTTATTTAACGGGGAATAAGTGATAATTCATATTATATCATGGTTAGTGTGTGCATGCTGTATCATACGGCCTGCCATTAAGTCAACTGGCGTGGTCTCGAATCCCTGGTTGTACGTGGCAAGGAGTAGGGTCACCTGTCCATACTCCTGATTTTCTCCGGGTACTCTGGTTTCCCCCCACTGCTAAAGACCCCTACGCGCAAGCAAATTATTGAAATAAAATTAAACCATATGTTAGTCCCGAAATGACCTTGTTTGTGTTGAGTGGACGTTAAACCCATTTCTCTCTAATTATGTTTTGCATACAATGTATAAATACAAATGTAAAGGATGTAACTTTAAAATAGAAGAAAATCAAATATTTTTAATATTAAACAATTGCTTTGTTCTTATACTTCTACAATCATTCTCATGTTGTTCATTTTGCCATATTTTTGTTTATTCATTCATATGTCTTCTATATAATGATGCATAGTATAGTACACTTTGTTAAAAAAATACTAGAAATGTATGTTTCTTTATCACCAAATGATTTATGTAAGTTGTGAAGTAAAACAGTTGAACACTAAATCCCATTTCAATTTATTTGCATGAGGTGAAGAGAAATAATGGTATTGAACAATTGACTATTCATGAAAGATACTAAAGAGAACTTTATTGATTTATACATACTTTTGCTAATTTTATTGTTATATCTTGGTAGTAACATACCAATATAAATAGTAATATTGTTTCTAGATGAAGACTATTATAATTGAAATGAAATGGGATTTCACATCATAATGCTATGCACGGACTGGGCTAATAATGACAAAAAACTACAATGAATACAATAGTATAAAATGTTGCTATGAAATTAAATAAATGTTGTATACAATAATTAACCGGTTTAATACTATATTATACATAAAAGTGAATGAAATTCAATGTTTACTATTTTGCTTTATACATGAATATCACAGGTCAAATTATTGAAATAAATAATGCAAATAGATTATGATTTGAAACATCAGTAGTAGGAAGGGTACTTCGAAGCAATTTTGGAATTCCAGACATTCCAAAGGTCTGACGTCACACATTCCTAAGGTCTGACGTCAGAGCATTCCACAGGTGTTCTATTTATAGTTTGAATATGGTTATTGTTGACTGAACAATGAGGTTATGAATAATAAAAAAGGTATGCAGGTGTTGTATTCTTTGATCGTGTTTGACTTTTGTAACGAGGGTATGGGGTCCCCGAATTGTTTATTGGAGGGTAGGGGGGGAAAGATATTTCGCTTTATAGGCAGGTGTGTAGAGGTTACATTGAGTTCACACCAAGTGTAGCTATACCTACATTAAGGGACAATGACCTCCGCCATTAAGCTTGACAGGTGATTTTGTCGATTTTGTTCTAAGCCAATAGTTTTAATCTACATATTTGTGACAGGGTGTAGTTAAATTTTGGTTTTAAGTTTCGAAAATCTAGGTATAAAAGGGGGTTGATTACACGTTCAAATGTAGAATTGTTTTATGAAGTTGAAAACAAGAGATTAACATCATGAGTATCGACTTGTATCGAAAGGATATTGGAAATGATTATTTGGTTGTAAAATGTATTTGGCAAGAAGATGTGTGTTATCACATCAGACTGTATGGTTACGGTTTTAAGAGTGATAGATATCCAACACCCAATGGTATCATGTTTTTCGAGCGGCAATGGCAGGCATTGATGAACACTGCCTCAGAGATAGATGAGTATTTACAAAAAAACATTGTAAAGAAATCAGTGCCTATTGGTAATGACGTGTACGTAACGATCGACAACAAATACCCTGGAGTCAACATTCGTAAATTTTGGTGGTGTGAAGAGGAACGAATGCCAAAACCTACCCGAAAGGGTGTTCATTTAAACGTGAAACAATGGGAGGCATTGAAAGTTAGCTTCAAAGAGTTGTGTGAAAATAATTTTACGGGTGAGGAACCACCCCTAGGTGTAGTAGGCTTAGCAAAGGCGGAGACTTGTGTATAATTTCTGTCCAACGTATTTTTTATTGGGCGGTCTGTGCGAACCAATAATATAACGAGTTGTATATATATATATAAATAGATGCCTAACTATTGAGTTATCATACGAAACAACATGGCTTCACCCAAGATATCAGATGTTTCAGTCGGTTTGACATTGAGTTTAGGGGACAATGATAATACAACCCCTGAAATATTACTGAAGGCTGGTTATTTAGGGTTGAAGCGTAAAATGGTTTTTAAGATGACATTAAAAGAATGGAGTCGGGTTGTTGATCGTTTCAAAAGATATTTATCCTGTACAAAACCTACCAAATTTGCCATCAACAGTGAGTTAAGCTGTGAACTGGGAACCGCCCGCCAAATGGTTCTGGAGAGAAAAAATGGTAGACAATTGGTGATACCCGAAAAAACCTTTTCCGACCTAACAGGCGTGTCTCGAGTTACAAGATCGTTCAAGCGCGGTCGTTATCATGTGTATGGTTGTTCGCCTGCCAAGTCGGGTCTCGGGGTAAAGGATTGGAGTTTGTTAAAATCTGGACAGACGTGGCACAATACTCCAGAGGATTGTGTTTCTGCAGCAAACAATGAAGGATGGGACCAGCCTGATTGCTACAGCACGGAAGTACGCGTAGAAGGGGTCTACGCCGAAAATCAACTCATTTTCCACGAGGATCTTGTAGATGCGGAGGAACACGTTACACACCTCGTACCGTGCACCATGTGCTCAAAACCTATGCATGTCAATGACGATCATTACTGTCCTGCCGAAAATATACGTACGTTAGTTGTGCAAATATTGGGAGACATGATCAACACGGAGATTTCAAAAAGTGTAACCGGTCGCTGTGAAGGCTGTCTCAATGGTCGTGGAGGGCAGCTTGAACATACATGCCTGGGGATCGACTATTGGTTCGATGAAATCAACTTTGTGGACTTGTACTTCGAATCCTGTTTTCTAGAGTTGAATAAAGATCGTTTTTTACAGATAGCACGATTCGTCCCAGAGATTCGCGATCAGAGCGAAGAGTTGTTTCTACACGCAACGTTGTATTGGAAACCTCAAATCCTAGAATGTGTTCACACGTTGACTAAATAACTTTTTTTTTTTTTTTTTTTATGATTATAATTTTCATTTTCTATATGTATTACATTTGTACTTTGATATAATAAAAGATTAAACATTTTTAAATGGAATTAGTTATTTTTACCCCGGCTAACGAAATGGATGTAAGGCTAAAGACCCCATTTACATGTATGATATCAGGGCCCACACAATCGGGTAAGAGTCAATTGGTCAGGCGCTTGATTCTAGAACTACCACAAGTTGCCGATCAACCCATAGATCGTATCGTGTGGTGTTACGGTGTTTGGCAACCTTTGTACGAAGAATTAGCGGGTATCGTAGAATTTGTCGAAGGGTTATCCGCTAGTCTAAACCCAAAGGAAAGAACACTATTGATCATTGATGATTTGATGGACGAGACAACGGACAAAGTATCAAAACTCTTTACCCGCGGAAGTCACCACGAAAATACTTCCGTCATTTATATTGTTCAAAATCTGTTTCATAAAGGTAAACATCACAGGACGATCAGTCTCAATGCCCATTACATGATTATATTTAAGAACCCTCGAGACATGTCTGCTATAACGCAATTAGCCAAGCAGATGTACCCAGGGAAAACTAATTTTGTTCGTGAAAGTTACGAGGACGCTACAAGGAAACCCTATTCGTATTTATTTCTCGATTTGAAGAGTACAACCCCAGACCTTTTGAGACTTCGGAGTAGTATTTTCCCTAGGGATAACCCCACGGTGTACGTACCAAATGTATAAAAGCAATTGATTTTCGACTGTACCTACACACAGTTGTCCGAAAATAGATAATGTATGGTCTAGATCGTCACGCCAAGCTATTACAAGCACTCAAGCGGGCCAAACCAAGACAGCGAATACATATTATTAAAAACGCAAGTAAACCAGTCATTGACGCATTGTGTGAGTGTTGTCTTAACATCTTGAAAGGGAGAGTTCGACTCTCGGCATACCACAAGAAACGATTGTCGAAACACAAACGTAGTCTAAGACATTTAGCGGACCGTAAAGTCGCCCTGAAACAGAAGAAAAAAATCCTGCAGAGGGGGTGGATTTCTTGGTAGCTTGCTAGCACCTCTGGTAGGGATTCTAGGGAGTGTGGTACCTAAAATATTCGAGAGTTTGCTGGAAAATTTGCAAACACCTAAACCCCAGATATTACAGCCACCCTCTGTGAGAAAAGTTTCTGAATTAGACGTCGAAATACGACGCATCCTCGAGGACCCCGAAATGGATGAAAAATATTATCTAAAATACTTAATCATTCAATATTCCATTATTTTGAAAATAAAAACCACACAAAAAATGTTTAGGAAGCAAATTTCTGAGCGTTAATATCCCTGTGAATAATATTATCTAAAATACTAAATCATTCGAGTTACCGTATATCCCCAAAACCTGTAAGAAATAAATTAATTGTTAATTATCATCCTAGTTTATACATGCAATGTGTTCATTTTAGTGTATTTCATACTTGGTCATTTTTGAGAGTAAATAGCAGTTTTATCAATAATGTTCTCAAATTGCATCAATCACACACCAAACGTCAATTGGGATTAGCTTATCAAACGGGGGAAATTTGTTGCAATAAAAAATACCTATATTCGGACATTGATTTACTATAACATTAATACATCAGCAGTAACTATAAAAAACGTTAAAGGAGCTAAATCGCTAATATTAATGGGACCTAGAAATTGACAGAAATGGGTCGCAACGAATATAATAAGGTAATGTGAATGTATATAAACTGATTTACATTCAATCGTTTCTGTTTTTACCGTAATTTCTAATCAGTTATGTTCGGCGAAATGTGCCAAAGTCTCAATTGAATGACGATCTTTAGCGTCTGGTTATTCCAGTCTAAACCGATGGTATTTATTGCGCATGCTCTCCATATAAGAATATAGCATTGACATGACTTGTGGAATATGTCTAGCCTCGGTCTTCGAGTCCCTTGTGCCAAATGGCAAATGTACCAATGGTAAAATGTTTCTTTTGTCTTGAATATTGGATATCAGAAGCTCATCTATTCCTTGTAAGATCACAAGACCAATGCTGATTTGAATTGACAAATAATTCGTGTTTTCAATGTCGAAGATTTTGATGATATTGAGTTAGAGACTTAGCTACTTTAACAATAATTTTTGTAGATATGGAAAAAAAGATATTGATCACATAGAAATACCAAAATTTTTTTAAAGATATGGAAAAAGATGTTGATCACATAAAAATACCAAATTTATATTCCATAAATGGTAGATGTAGACATTAAACATACATTATGCAAGGGCTATATCTCCCTATTGCAGGACTTCCTTTAGGCCTGAAATGTTTTCTAAATTATTAATTAGACATTAATTAACTGATCCAAGGCCATAATTAACTGATCCAAGGCCATAATCAACTCTCGATTGCTTCGGATTTCTCAGATATTAAATAGATTAGAACGGTTCAGCCATATTTTAATGGCTGCAATTATTGCAACGTCTTGTCAAACCTTCAAAGGCTAATATCTTCTCTCGCAATAGAGTAATTGGAATGAAAATTTCAAATTATTCACTTTACATTATCTATTGTCGAACTATTATAGCAAGAATGGCTAGCTCTTTATCGAAATCTTACATACTGTATCTTTAAGTTAAAGATAAAAGTTACAAGTTTGTTTTTATATGAAATTTTACAATTTTATAATAATCTACCGGAAATATACATAACAGGGATAAAGCATAACGTTTCCACGATATAATAACCATGAATGTAAGTGAATAAACAACAAACAACACTTCAAAATTCATACGTTCATGGAAAAATCTTACCAATCGGTGCATAGATACGATAAGCATTCATTAAAAATCACAGAGAATATAAAATATGTGACTGGACAAAAATATTACTATATGATATATATGTCCAGACTGACAAATCTCTGTTCAGACTGATATAATAAAATATCTGCAGTTTATAGGGAACTCTGTAAGATGCACATAAGTATATACCACTGTTTTATTTCGAACAAGTATAAAAACATTTCATTGGAGAGATTAAACATTATTGACATAGATTTATAATGATGTTTAGTTATTTTCGAAAGATATTTACTCGTGAAGTAAGGTTTGTTAAATAATCTCTTCAGTGTTTAATCAATTGTAACGGTGATTTGTACTAGACAATGTAACGGCATATATATACATTTCGATAATTGCACTTTTATTAAAGTTCAAATGTTCGGGGTGCATATTCCATATGTCGTGAATGCGGCGAGGAAAATGATGCATGCCTATTTTTTAAGTCTTCATAATAAACCATCTAGAAACCTCAATTTAAAGCCGGAAATCAGCTGTATCGCGTTATGGGGAATGGAAGTAATTGTATAAGGTATTAGACAGGGAAAGATTTGTCAATGAATGTCGGTGAAGGGGAAATTTCCAAATAATGTTTAACCCGTTTCATATAAGTTGTGAATAAAAGGGGTAGCTTATTCCAAACCATATAGCTCATATTGTCTTGATCATCCCTATGTTCGTAAATAATCATCTAATAATGTGTTTAAGTAAATATAGCCTCATGCAACAGAATGACCATATGTTCAGATAGGGAAAAATGCCTCTTCAGACTAAAATATCTGCAGTTTTGCAGAACGACGAAGTCCAGTTAAGTTTATCCACGTAAAAGTAACTCCATCTCGACAAATAACGACACCCCAGTTTGAAAGGTATATTATTTGTGTGCTGGTGATATCAAATGGAAGTACTAAAATGGCTGAAGTATGTCGAATGTACAACCGTCTGTTATCAACACAATGACGACAGGGTATTCCCTTATAGTAGTAAACCAAGCATCCATTTTTTAAATGCAGTTAAGCCCCCCCCCCCCTTTATTATATAATCTGTTACTCTAATGAACTTTTAAAAAAAACGAAAAAAAAAAAACGAAGAATTAATTTATAAAATTAAAAATGAAATTATAAAATTAAAAATGAATTTATAAAATTAAAAATGAAATTAAAAATGAATTTATAAAATTAAAAATGAATTTATAAAATTAAAAATGAATTTATAAAATTAAAAAAATGAATTTATAAAATTTATAAAATGAATTTATAAAATTTATAAAATTAAAAATGAATTTATAAACTTAAAAATGAATTTATAAACTTAAAAATGAATTTATAAAATTAAAAATGAATTTATAAAATTAAAAATGAATTTATAAACTTAAAAATGAATTTATAAAATTAAAAATGAATTTATAAAATCAAAAATGAATTTATAAAGTTAAAAATGAATTTACAAAATTGAAAACAAATTTACAAAAATAAAAATTATTCTACAAATTTAATTTATTTCTTTTTTTTTTTAAATTGAGGATTATTTTCCAAAATTAAAAATTATTTTCCAAAATTAAAAATTATTTTTCACTGTCAGAGCATCTAAAATATGGAATAATCTTCTAGATACATACTTAGTCTTCGTTGTGTCATTAGTAACAATAAACAAATTGGAGGGGGGGGGAACAAGAAAACTAACAAAATTCATACTTTCAAATGAAATCTTTATTATACACATTACGGTATCAGAAATTTAAAATCGAAAAGATTATGACGAATACATATATATTTATATATATATATTTATATATATATATAAACAACATATTAACCATGCCAGTATGACAAAATGTGTATTGTTTTCAATACGTTTTAGGTATGCCACTCTAAAATTTCGTTGGATTTCGTAATGGGGTTTTATTATCTTTCGAGACTTGTTGTCGCAGAATCTCCATTTTAAGTTTATGTTCATTCACGATAGCATTGATCTTAGCATTTAACAATGCCAGTCTTAAATCATGCGCAGATGTCCTATTATTTACACTGAATGGTTCGGAAATGATGTCGAGTGATTGCTGACTGATTACATTCGGATCTACATTACCACCGTGGCGACCGCCACAGTATTCAGTA